AGTTTTTTTTCACTTTAGTGGATCTTTTGTTAACTTTTCTTGATCATGTGTAAGGTGGTTCTTGTTCATTAAGTCTTTCGTTTTGTTTTGTGTGAGAGGATTTCTGCCTTTAAGTGAGAAGGTACATCTATTTTTTCATTGAACATTCCCTATGTTTGTGTGTACCTGAATAAAATGTGTATATATGTCTTCACTACTTGCTTAATCCTTAACAACTGGAGTACCATAGATGGTACTGTAAGTTGCATTAATATTGTATGTATACACAAATTTAAACATTTTTTAAAAACAAAACATATCTGTCCAATGGAGTTACCATGATGTACATGTATGTAAAAATAAAAAAGAAGCAGTAAATAAACTATTTGAACTTTATTTATAGTTATTCCATGTTAGAGTTTGCATATATACTTCCTGAAGTATACTTCCTGAAGTACTAAGCTTGTCTAAAATCATGTATCACTATAAAAATACTCAAAGAATTCTTCATATGTTTGAAAATAAATAGATAAACCAAGTTATAGTTGACAAACATGAACAGAACATCCCCGACATAGTGTGGAACATTAATTATAAGGTGACTGTTCACCACAGCAGATAGCTGACATTATGACACTAATTTTTATAGTCATAAGGCACTAGGCAAGCCAAAAGATGGGTGTAGTTGTGATTTTTGGTATGGCTAAAAAACAACTGAATTACTCATAACAATGAACTACATAAGTGACATTGGTGCAGTGTATTCATTAATTCTTGGTATTATTGCTGCTTTGAAAAGACTTAATTACTGGACCTTCAAGGTTTAATATCCTGTAGCAGTCCCAGGTCGGGCACAAGTCACTAGGATCCCTCCAACTATGCCCAAGTTGGTACAAATCTATCTCTAAATCTTGATACTCTTTTTTATGAGATGATTAGAAATGAAAATCCATATAGTATCCCCATGCTGAATACTGAACTGCCAAGGATCCCACATTAAGTAAAAACTTACTCATTGCTAAATAGTAATTTGGAGGATTCAACAAGTCTCACTTCACCACTTTGGAGGGATTATGCCTGCCAGTAGTAATTCTAAGGATCAAAGTTACAGTTATCACATGGAACTAATACCCCAATCTCGTATTGAGCGACACAGTGATGAAAGCTGAATCTCCTACAACTTCTGCTGTAAAATACAGTAACACTAAAGGAGGAGCATAATTCAGAGAAATAGTTGTTACTATTTATTGTATCTTAACATCCATTTTTATAAACATGCTTATAATGGCCATAGACATCAAAAGTCATTTGTTCTGTGGATTACAGTGCCTATGACAGTAATCTAGAAAAATCTTTTAGGCAATGCTCTGATTATGTGTGTGTGTGTTTGTCTGTCTGTCTCTCTCTCTCTCTCTCTCTCTCTCTCTCTCTCTCTCTCTCTCTCTCTCTCTCTCTCTCTCTCTCTCTCTCTCTCTCTCTCTCTCTCTCTCTCCCCCCCTCTCCTCCTCTCTCCCTCTCCCCCCCCTCTCTCCCCTCCCTCCCTCTCTCTCTCCCCTCCCCCTCTCTCTCTCTCTCTCTCCCCTCCCCCTCTCTCTCTCTCTCTCTCCCCTCCCCCCTCTCTCTCTCTCTCTCTCCCCTCCCCCCCCTCTCTCTCTCTCTCCCCTCCCCCCCCCTCTCTCTCTCTCTCTCTCTCTCTCTCTCTCTCTCTCTCTCTCTCTCTCTCTCTCTCTCTCTCTCTCTCTCTCTCTCTCTCTCTCTCTCTCCCCCCCCCTCTCCCCCCCCTCTCCCCCCCCCCCCTCTCTCTCTCTCTCTGTCTGTCTGTCTGTCTGTCTGTCTATCTGTGAGTGTGTGTCTGTTTTTTTTACAGAGATGGACAGTATCGTGATAAGATTAGTCCTAATGAAATTTATAATAGACAAAACCAGAAA